CGAGCTTGCTCTTCAGTTCGGGATCTCTGTAATGGTTATAGCTTGTCCATGTGCTCTTGGGCTGGCTACTCCAACTGCTGTTATGGTTGGTACTGGGGTTGGTGCATCCCAAGGTGTACTGATAAAGGGTGGTCAAGCCCTAGAAAGAGCACACAAGGTTAGTGTGCAGTAAGTTATTAAGTCTCTTGCTTTGTAAACTTATTATACTTTACTCAGGTTCTCTGTATCATTTCTTTTCTGAAATGATAAAACCTGAAAGTTTCAATGACGGTGTAGGTAAACTGCATTGTCTTTGACAAGACAGGAACTCTCACGATGGGGAAGCCCGTGGTTGTGAAAACAAATCTCCTGAAAAACATGGTACTTCGAGAGTTCTATGAACTTGTTGCTGCAACTGAGGTAATCTCTTGTAACCATCGCACATGCGCACAAATTTTTCAGGCTAACTTTTGGAAACTCATGGCCTACATAAAAAATAATATCACTATGTTGTTGCTATCTTTTTATCAGGTCAACAGTGAGCATCCGTTAGCAAAGGCCATCGTCGAGTACGCGAAGAAATTCAGAGACGACGAAGAGAACCCTGCGTGGCCTGAAGCCCGTGACTTTGTGTCCATCACTGGAAAGGGAGTGAAAGCCACCGTTAAAGGAAGAGAGATCATGGTGGGAAACAAGAATCTGATGGATGATCATAAAGTTTTTATTCCAGTCGATGCTGAAGAGTTGCTAGCAGATTCTGAAGATATGGCCCAGACCGGGATTCTTGTCTCTATAAACAGTGAACTGATAGGAGTTTTATCTGTTTCGGATCCTCTAAAACCGAGTGCTCGAGAAGCCATCTCCATTTTAAAATCCATGAATATCAAAAGCATCATGGTAACTGGTGACAACTGGGGAACAGCAAATTCCATTGCTAGAGAAGTCGGTATCGACTCTGTTATCGCAGAAGCTAAACCAGAGCAAAAAGCAGAGAAAGTCAAGGAATTACAGGTACATTAGTAGCTCCACACTAAATGTTAAAAATTTCACATCTATGAATTACAAAATTGAATAAAAGAAATGATTTTGCAGGCTGCGGGACATGTTGTGGCAATGGTGGGTGACGGAATCAATGACTCACCCGCTCTAGTGGCAGCGGATGTAGGCATGGCAATAGGTGCAGGAACCGACATTGCCATAGAAGCAGCTGATATAGTTCTGATGAAAAGCAACTTAGAAGATGTGATCACAGCCATTGATCTTTCAAGGAAAACGTTCTCAAGAATCCGTCTCAACTACGTTTGGGCTCTCGGATACAACCTCATGGGGATACCGATCGCTGCAGGAGTGCTTTTCCCAGCGACACGTTTCAGGTTGCCTCCATGGATTGCAGGTGCTGCAATGGCTGCTTCCTCTGTTAGTGTAGTGTGTTGCTCTCTCTTGCTGAAGAACTACAAGCGACCTAAGAAGCTTGATCATCTGGAGATCCGGGAGATTCAGGTGGAGCGAGTTTAAAAAAAAACTGAACTAAACCGAGTACCGGTTATTGAATTTGACGAACCAATAAACCGTACTGTAAATTTTCACTCCTTATCTAGAAGAAAGTAAGCCCATCTCCTGGGGCCTGCGTGCCTGGCTTTGGGCTTTTGCCTTGTTTGTGTTTGGGTCTGCGTGCCTCTTTCGGCTTTTGTCTTGTATGTTGGGCCTGCGTGTCTTTGTCGATCTTTTGGCCTTGTATGTGCTTTTTTTGGTTTTAAAATTTAAAGTAAAAAAAAAAAGAAAGTAAGCCCATTAACTAATAATGGTGTGTGGATCAATGGCGTTGTGTATTATGGCACTAGGATAAGTGAATGGTGGTTGGTAAGATTCAATGTGAGATCTGAAAAGTTTGATCAAGTAGTAGTACAATATTTGGGTGATCCTTCTCCTCCATCTTATCGCAAGTAACTCTAGTCATTGATATTGAACAACAAAGATTTGAATTGTGGGTTTTGGAAGATGTTGAGAAACATGAATGGTCCAAGATATAGATGATTATTAATAAAGAAACATCTATTTATATATATATATAGTTATAGATGATAATAATTGATAGTTTTGATATATATATATATATATATATATATAGTTATAGATGATAATAATTGATAGTTTTGATTAAATTTCCAATAAATCATAAATATTCTTAAAAATAATAATTACTCAAATAAGTAATTTGAATATCCCGCATACAGTATTTTAAACCTACATTCTTATCCGTTAAATAACTTTTCTTATCTTTAGAGCATGATTAACGGTGGTTTCTTAGATAGTTCTTAGATTTAAAGTTGAATTAAATTAAATTGAAAATGTTGTATAAAACTAAGAAACGTTTCTTAAGACATTTTTAGAGTTAAGAGGTGTCCACGCAGGCCCGGCCCTGTACCCATTTTTTTTATACATTTGTATGGGGCCACACAAAAATAAAGGCCCATTTTTTTGTTTTTTTCATATTTAATAAGAACAACAAGTGAAAATAAAGGCCTATTTAGTTAGATGCAAGTCTGTTAAAGGCCCCAATTTCCGAAAAAAAGGCCTCAATTTCCGAAAAAAGGCCCCAATTTTCATTAAAAAAGTTATTTTTGACATTATTTGTGGTATTATATTATATATAGAGGCCTCAATTTTTTTATTTCGTATTGGGCCAAGTATATTACAGGACCGGGCCTGTGTCCACGTGGCACGTTTGCACCGTGTCTCCGAGTTTGCTTTATGTGTTTGTGTTCTGTTCTGGGTGTTGAATTGGGAACGAGAGAGATGGGTCTTTGAAACTACTGTGTAAGAAAGAAGTTGTCTTGGTTAATTCCATTGTTGAACAGCCTTTGCCTAGATTAAGCAGTTTTTTCGATTCTGTGAAATCTGAATTGCTTAGAACTGATTTGGTTAGGTTGGTTAAGGGACTAGATGATTCTGGGCATTGGGAAAGAGCTGTTTTTTTGTTTGAATGGTTAGTTTTGTCTTCGGATTCTGGAGCTTTGAAGCTAGATCATCAAGTTATCGAAATCTTAGTTAGGACTTTAGGTAGAGAATCTCAAGACTCTGTTGCAGCTAAGTTGCTCGACAAAATTCCTCTACAAGACTATATGCTCGATGTTCGTGCTTACACGACGATCTTACATGCGTATTCACGGACAGGGAAGTATGAAAAGGCTATCGATTTGTTTGAGAGGATGAAAGAGATGGGTCCTTCCACCTACTTTGGTGACTTACAATGTGATTCTCGATGTTTTTGGGAAAATGGGTCGATCTTGGAGGAAAATTCTTGGGGTTTTAGAGGAAATGAGAAGCAAAGGATTGAAGTTTGATGAGTTTACTTGTAGTACTGTGCTATCTGCTTGTGCAAGAGAAGGTTTGTTAAGAGAAGCGAAGGACTTTGTCACTGAACTTAAGTCATGCGGCTATGAACCTGGAACTGTAACTTACAATGCTTTGTTGCAAGTTTTTGGCAAAGCAGGAGTTGTTTATACAGAAGCATTGAGTGTTTTAAAGGAGATGGAGGAAAACAACTGCCCAGCAGATTCTGTGACATACAATGAGCTTGTTGCTTGATATACTCTATATTTACCGCTTTATCATGGTTGTTATAATCCTAATTATTGTGTTTCATTAGTATTTTCATTGTGTTTGTTGCATTTAGTGTCCAAGTGTGTCTTCTTGCATTTTAGAAGTCCCATAGTGTCTTTGTGTGTCTTTTGGTGTGTGTTTGTGTGTCTTTTGAGCAATTTCAGGTTAAAATAATGGAGGACACACATTTGGATGCAAAGAAGAGAATTGATGATTAAGAACCAGTCCGAAGTCCTTCAAAGATCTACTCAGATGAGAGTCTTTCATTGCGATTTAGCTTCAGAGCGCTTCATGAAAGTTATAGGAAATTGAGTTATCTTTCTAACGGTGGTGATTTCAAGCAAATCAGAGCTTCGATGAAAGAGTTATGGTGGTTTTAATGGACATATATCACTCTGGCGCGGAAAAGAACAAAGGATGGCCTCAAGATTCAGCATTGGTTTATTGATTATTTTGGCCATCGTTCTTCTAATGGTGTTTGCTCTGCAGGAATCTTGGCCGGCTCTGCGGTGACAACGTTTTGGAACTTGACAAGCATTAGTAAAAGTGCTTGTTCGAGTAAACAAAATGCAATTTTGACTTTTTGTGTTGATTTAACAGAGATCATATAGATTTGATTTTAAAGATGGACATTTGTCTTTGATATGTAAACTGAAGACAAAGAGATGAATAAATTTTTTATGGTTTATGAGTTTTAACTAAAATTATATTCATATCTCTTTTAACTTAAACACAAATTTAACTAAGAACCCACCATTGGACAATGACAAAATTAAAACTATAACACAAGCTCTTAACTTCAAAATTTTCAAAATCTATATTAAAACAATTGCTAAGAGCCAATATTAAGAGACTATCCAAAAATTTAGGGCAATACAAATCGGTTTAAAATAGGTTAATTTGGAATATATATCAACGTGATTTTATAATCGGTTACATATACACAAAGAGATCTCTAAGGGGTTTCTTCCTTCAGAAACAAGAAACGTCATCATGAGAACTAGACATCGCAGCAAGAAGGAAAAGATCAACAACGAGTCTCGAGTAACGTCGGAAATAACAAGATATGTTGCAGATGAAGTTCCTATAGATCTGGTAATCGAGATTTTGAGGAGATGAGATCGCCTGTGAAATCTGTAGCTAGGTTCCTTTTTGTATCCAAGTTATGGGCAAAAATCATCCGCAGTCAAGCTTTAATTAGATCGTTCCCATTTACGTCTTCGCTTAAGCCACATCAACTCATTGCATTCAAGTATATAGATGACGAAAACTAACGTCAGATTTGGAACGTCAATACAATCAAACTCTTAAATTCATACATTAAAACTTCAAAATATTCTTTAATCATGAAAACATTCCGAATTTTTCCCGTATATACTTATCAGATCTGTTTGCAATTCATGATGCATATTTAGATCACATAATTCGGATCTAGCAAGCACATTATTTTAAAATTGATCATTGTTGGAATATAGGTAGTGAAAACGGAAGCCAGATCCATTTTACTAAAATTATGTTTAAGACTTCAAAAGGAGAGTTTATGGAAAGATAATAGAAAAGTTATGGTGAAAAGACTTTTATCTATGTCCAAATTAAATGAATCAAATTGTATTTATAGAGAACAAAAAACTGAAGAATTTTGGTATAGTTTTTTTCTTTTCTTTTCAATTTCATTACTATGAAATAAATGACCTGATAAACGAAACAACGAATCAAAAAATCACGCGTGACACATTGTCCCCTCCAAACTCATTTTTCAACATGTTGAATTCAATTAATCCATCTCATTTCAACACCTAAAATCAACACCATCACTACACCAATTCAACTTTTGAATTAAAAATTTATCACCTTCATTGTAAATGGTCTTTACAACAGTTGAAAAGAAATTCAACACCACCGTACCATTGAAAGTAGTCTAACATATTAATTGTTCAACCAAAAAAAAAAAACTTGCATTAATTTTAATATAAGATTCAACGAATGATAAATTAAGACATTTGTTGATATACATAATTAATTTAAATATATAGATACGTATATTTGATATCAATTATAAGTCTTCCAAATCATATAATTTATTTTTGGAACACCAAGACGTGCAAACTCAATGATCATATATACTACAATTATTAGACGACGTGCTTGCATGTCCGTAACATAACATCTACAAAAGCTTACACAGAAAATAGAATCTAAAAAGCAACCAAACAAAAAAATGCCTGTCTCCATCTCAAAGAGGCGACCAAGAACATCCAAAAAAACCGAAACCGAGAAATCCGAGAAAACACTTAAAGATTCTCGTACTTGTTGTAATAACATTTGCTCGATCTTCTCCAGATCAATTCTCTATCGTGTACCTCTCACGATTATCTTTCTCTTCTTAATTTATCTTTGGTCCACTTCCACGACCGCTATCTCCGGTCATGTCGTTCATATATGCATCTCTTCGCGGAAGCTCAATGACCGTTATTGTCTCACTGCCGGTACTCAGCCCGCTTTACGTGTACCAGTCAACAATTTCACTAAACCGGTTAGTGAAGATGTTGTAAGAAGGAAAGAAGAGAAGAATGTTGTAGTTCTTGGTAAAGATGGAGACAAGGGTTTCGCAAAAAATGAAACATTCGTCGGAGAAAGAGATTCAGACAAATCTACGGTCGGAACAAGCCTCAACGTCATAAAGAATGACACTTCCACCGGAGAAATCTTCAGAGAAAGAGTTTTCGTTCTTGATCAAGATTCTAAACCCATCCATGAGGAGAATCTTGATTCCGTTCTTGATCAAGATTCTAACCCCAAAAACGAGATTGATCGCGATGTCTTTGTTGATTGGGATCCAGAAACCGGCGAAGAACGATACCGATATTTCAAATCGAAGGACGAAAGCGAGGAGACTGCTCTAAAAGCCGTGGACAAGTATCTTCAAATACAAAGATCTTGGTTATCAATGGGAAGCAACCGCGGAAAGCCTGGATCTTGCGAAGGAAAAGAGGTTTACGTTTACGATTTACCATCTAAATTCAACAAAGATTTGTTGGGGCAGTGCTCCGATATGGTCCCATGGGCCAATTTTTGCAGCTACTTCAAGAACGATGCATTTGGTGATTTGATTGAGAATCTCGGTATAGGCTGGTTCAGAACGCATCAATACGCTCTTGAGCCAATCTTTCACTCTAGAGTTTTGAAGCATCCATGTAGGGTTCATGATGAGACCCAAGCAAAGCTCTTCTATGTGCCTTTCTATGGTGGTATAGATGTTTTGAGATGGCATTTCAAGAACGTTTCTGAGGATGTGAAGGATGTTTTGGCGATCGAGGTTGTTAAATGGCTCGGTTCGAAGAAATCATGGAGGAAAAACGCCGGGAAAGATCATGTTTTTGTTCTTGGAAAGATCTCTTGGGATTTTAGGAGGAATGATAAGTTTTCGTGGGGCTCAAGTTTACTTGAGATGCAAGAAATGAAAAACCCTACAAAACTCCTCATCGAACGTAATCCATGGGATGTCAACGACATCGCGATACCTCATCCGACATACTTCCACCCGAAAACAGACAACGATATCGCCATCTGGCAAAACAAAATTATTGGAAAACAACGTCGGAGCTTAATCAGCTTCGCCGGTGGAGCAAGACCTGGCAAGTCTGATAGCATCCGATCAACATTGATTGACCAATGCAAATCATCTCCAAACCAATGCCGGTTTTTGAATTGTACCGATGGAGGCTGCGATAAACCGGAATCAGTTATCGAGCTTTTCCGGGATTCGGAATTCTGCCTCCAACCGCCTGGAGACAGTCCGACAAGGAAATCGATATTCGATTCCCTCATATCAGGTTGTATCCCGGTGATCTTTGATCCGTACAGCGCGTATTATCAGTACACGTGGCATTTACCGGAGGATCACCGGAGATACTCAGTTTATATAAACAAAGAAGATGTGAAGGCAAAGAAAGTAAATGTGATTGACAAGTTGATGTCAAAGACTCTAAGGGAAAGAGAGGATATGAGGAGTTACATTGTTCAAGAGCTTTTGCCTGGTTTGGTCTATGGAGATTCTAATGCTAAGTTTGAGAGGTTTCGAGATGCTTTTGATATTACTATGGATAGTTTACTCCGGAAGATTGCTAAAACTGTTTGATTTTATTTTTTCTTTGAACCTCATTGTAAAATTTTCAAAATTATATTAGAAATCTCAAAATAAAATATAGAACTCATCATTTTATAGTTTCTGAAAATACTCTTATGAAAACTGGCCCACTAAATAAAACCCTGTTTCGGAAAAAGGATAAAAGCCCATTAAGCCCAAAACATAATATCAGTTACTTAAAACAGAGTAAACGACTCATTATCGAACGTCACGCGCATTAGTCGCGCGTGTGAAGCGAATATATCCAAGGTCACTCCTTGCTCGTTGACTGCTTCTTCTTCATTTCTAGTGAAATGGCGACGAAGGAACCAGAATCTGTTTACGAGATTAGCATCGAGGTGAATAAATTGCTTCAACTTGAATCATCGATTCAATAACACTCTTTGATAACTTGGGTTTGTGATTTTTTGTTAAAAGGAAGCACCTTTGATATTATAGGGTTCTAAGGATGGGAAAAGATTTTACTTTAAGGTGTCTTGGATGGGAAGGAATTTGATATGTTTACATTGTCTGAAGTAACGATTTGTCTTTTGTTGTATCTAGATGTTTGGTTTAAGATTGCTTAGGTTTTGCTTTTCTCACTAGAATCAATTAGATCATGATGGACCATGTTATCAGTTTGATCCTTGCTTTGTCTTCTTCTGTTGATTGGTCTCTCACATTTTGTTTTCTATAGTCTTTGATTGATTTCTTGTGTTGGCCTCTGAGGCTTTAGCTGAATAATCGTGATATCTCTTCTTCTTCCTGTAACAGGATGCTAAGGGAAACAGCTTAGAACTCAGTCAATACAAAGACAAAGTTCTTTTGATTGTCAATGTTGCTTCCAAATGGTTAGTTTTTACTCCTTCTATTAAGCTTCTTTCTTTTGCAAATTTGTCGAAAATGTTTGTGTCTTGTCTTGTTTATACTCTCTGATGGTCTCAGTGGGATGACAAACTCAAACTACACCGAATTGAATGAGCTTTATAGCAAGTACAAAGACAAAGGTACATAGTGATTTCAACAACAAATTTCTAAGTCCACGCTATTAGCTTCTCCATTGACGTTGTTCTGTTTCAGGTCTGGAGATTCTAGCATTTCCTTGTAACCAGTTTGGTGACGAGGAACCGGGAACTAGTGACCAAATCACTGACTTTGTTTGTACTCGCTTCAAATCTGAATTCCCCATTTTCAACAAGGTATAGATCAACTCGATGAATTCACTACAATTCTCTATGTCCTGAAGTTTTTAAAACATTCGTATATGTCCCGTTGTGTATTAGATTGAAGTAAACGGAGATAATGCTTCTCCTCTGTATAAGTTCTTAAAGAAAGGCAAATGGGGAATCTTCGGCGATGACATTCAGTGGAACTTTGCTAAGTTTCTTGTTGACAAGAACGGTCAAGCTGTAGAACGATATTATCCAACTACTTCCCCTATTACTCTTGAGGTAAAGAAACAATCTCTCTCTCTCTCTCTCACTCTTTCATTCACTCTCTCTGCTAATTTTCCTGTCTCAATTTTTCTGCAGCATGACATAAAGAAGCTTCTGAATATCTCCTGAATGATGCAGCTTTGTTGCTGAATCGAATTGTATCTGATTATGAACCTCTCTAATTCAATAAAGAGCCATGACATTGACTTGGATTGATCTTTTCTGTTTTGTTTTCCTAAATTTAAATTGGTTCGAGACTCGCAATTAATCGGGTTATTTAGATAAACCAGCATTATCAGGTTTGACAAACAGGTCCATGTTCTATCCAAAACCCTATTCTACCAAAGCGAAGCAAACAAAAAGACTAGTGGTGTTTAATTCGGACAAACCAAGCTGATCCAAACTATTTAAACCCAGTCCAAAACCATATCCCACCAATCAATTACCAAACTTGTATAGGTTACTTCATCTCTAAAACCAAATTGAACACAGCTACTGAAGAAACGAAAGGAAACCTTAATGAGTCATATCAAGAGTTAAAAACTTAAAATCTCCTTAAGTAGCCTGAAAGTGGGGTGGTTCTGTTACATCGAGAATGTTATAAAGAACTGAGAGGTCTGGTCTCAATCCTGAAATGTCTGGTTTAACATTCCCAGAAATAAATCTACAACAACAAAGATATGTACAGCACTCACATAACGTATGCTGTTGCTGCTTCGAAGACTAAAGGGGTAGTGGTGGGAGTAAATAGGAAGAAAGACTAAGAGTGTTTTTGTTTTGAATCACCCGCGAGTCAAGTCAATATCAGTGAGTGGGTTCCTGCTAGACTCAACTGATCTCCCTGAGCCTGAGCCTGAACTGGGCCATCCGCTCATTCCCTGAGCTGGGAAGTTCTGTGGCGTCTGCTGACCCGTCGATGCTGCGGCTTCTGGCGCAGTACCCGGTGTGGTCTCCATTTCGCTATTGTTCTGCTCTTCTTTAGGTTTTATTTCTTGTTTGATGGTCTTGTTATTGTTATTATTAGACTTTGCACTTGCTCCGTACACGAAACTACAAGCCACCACCTTCAAAATAACAAACAAGTTTTTCAGTTTAAGAGTCACATTACATATAAACAAATCCAAACAAAATTTCTCAAACCGTACCAGAACCGTATTTTTAACTTTTGTATTCAAGGTAGCACAAATCTTATACCAAACAATTACAACCAAAACAAAAAAATTAATGGAACCAAAACAAAACTCAATGGAACCAAACCAATTTTAAAATACCTGAACGAGGCTGGCTGCGATGAGCATTCCAATTCCACCGCCGATAACATGACCTTCAGGACCAGAAAGAGAGACACTCAAACCGCCTGTTCGACTTTTGGATCCACCTTCTTCATTCACCAGATAAGATCCACCTAAACTTAGAATCTCAAAACGTCCCTAAAGAACATAAAGAAGGGATAAAGAATCTTTAGTTTTCCACGTTTTGGTTCTTTTTTCGATTAACTGATGGAACGATTTTTAAACCTCGAATGTTAAGGAAGGTGTTGTTGAAGCGGGTTCGCGCAGAGTGACCGAAGAAACCGTTCCAGTGCCCGACATTATACAAAGAGCCCGAGATCTTTTTTGTGAAAATGACAAAACTTTCGAAACAATGTCCTGCAAGAAAAATAAAAGAAAACTGAAAAGCTGCATAAATTATTAAGATTGAAAGGAGTTTTGAGAGAATGAGAGTTTACTTCTCCTGATCCAACACTGATCACATGAGGTGCAAAAGCAAGTCCAGCTGATGTATTCATCCACTCACCTAAAGAAATGAACAGAATCAAATGACATTATAATGACCGATTACTTATCTCAACACAAATGGATCAGTGGAATTACTCTTATTCAGCTTAATACCTAATAATCGATGTTGAGTAGCAGTAACTACAGAGCTAAATTAATAACTTAATTTGACCATAGAATCATCTTAAGCTTCTAGCAACCAAAATCTACCTAATCATAGGACCCCAGCTTGTGTTCTTCACAATGCACATAGAAGAAAGTTGTGCCAAAGCTTACATATTGTGTCCATAAATCAAGAAGTCGATTTCGTCCACAATTACTAATAGCGAGTTGACTAACCACATTCTAATGACCAATTACTCATCTCAACTCGCATTGTACCACACATGGATCAGTCAATTTAACACCTAACAATCAATGTTGATTAGCAATAACAACAGGGCCAAAGCAACAAAACCTAACTTAACCATGGAATCACACATAACTTCTACCATTCAAACTTTCACCTAATCATAAGATCCTTCAAGATTAGCCAACAGAGCTAAAGCAACAACTTAAGTTGACCAAGTACACAGAAAAACTTGAGATCTCACCAAGATTAGCCAAGCGTTGCTTCCTTCCGGTGCCAGGAGGTCTACCTCTGGCTCGTTTAGGTGCATTAGGATCAGACATTGAAGAAGAGTCCTTAGACTTCTTACTAACACAAGGCATTGGAGAAAGCCCTAAAGAGACTTGTCCATCAGGAGCATACTTTCTTGGCCGTCCACGTTTCTTCTTAACCATAGGTTGCTCCGACAGTGGCGGCGGCAGCTGCAGAGTCGGCTGCACCGCAGCAGGAGAAGCAGAGGAAGCCATCCCCATGTGAATGCTGTGTCCAAAATCCGAATGCCTGTGCTCAGCTATGGAGAAAGGAGGTCCTGGATTGCTAGCCTGAGGATGATGAATGTTAGGGTTTGACATTGGCCTCATTCCCGGAGGTGGCGGCGGCGCGTGAAGCCCACTCGCGACCTGGGAAGGTGTAAGATTGGTGAAAACTCCTCTCTGAAGATAGAACTGAGAATGCGAGCCTGGAAATGCCATTGCTTCTCTCCCATCCATGCATTTAAAACCCTAAATTACAATTCTTTAAGAATCTAAGAGATTTAAAAAAAGGAAACTTTTTGAAGAACAAATTTATCTACCAATCAGAAATCGTAAGCCCTAATCCCCCAAAGTAGTAAAGAGAACAACAATGGCGGTTTTTATATACCCAGTAATCAAAGTCGGGGTTTTTGAGCTGTGAGCTCAAGATCCAAATTGTTTTTATGAAACCTAGTAAACAAAAAGAAGCTAAATGTTGAGAAAGTAAAATTGAAGATTTGAAATGAAGACAACAGGCAAAAGTAGCTACTACTACTGTTACAGTCTCTCTAGCAGAGAAAGCAAATCTCCAAAAAAAAAAAAAGGAAGAAAGAAAAAAAGAGACTGAAGAAGAGAAGAAAGGAGCGTGACGACCATTGTTTTCTATATATATATATATACGATTTCTTTTATTAATTTTGTCAAAAAATATATATTCAATTGGTCTTTTCAAATATTAAATTAGTTTGTTTAAGATTTTTTTTTTTAATTAAAAAAGGATATAGACTTTCTTGAATGATTTATAACAAAATCTAATGTCTCATTAGATCTCTCTGACTGAAAGAAATTTATTCATGAATATTTAATGCTCTTCATGTATAAATTATGAGATCATCTTCCTAGAAGTAACATCCTAAATCTTGTGTGTCTACCAAATAAGAGGAATCACGTTTACAAAGATGTTAAAGAACCAAAAGACTAGTGAAGAAACCAAGTTCTTGGTGACCATAAAAGAAAGTTTTAATGAGATCATATGAGAGTTAAAAATATCCTTAAATAGCCTGAAAGTGGGAGGATTCTGTTACATTAACAATGTTAGAAGCAAGGAACTGAGAGAAAGTGGTCTCAATCCTTAAATGTCTGGTTTTAAACATTCCCAGAGAGAAATCTACAACAACAAAGATATGTACAGCACTCACATTCTGTATGCTGCTGCTTCAAAGACTAATAGTGTATCATCCACGAGTCAAATCGATATCAACTAGAGGGTTTCTGCTAATGTCAAGTGATCTGCCTGAGCCTGAGCCTGAACCGGGCCATCCGCTCATTCCCTGAGATGAGAAATTCGGTGGCGTCTGCTGACCCGCCGATACTGCTGGTTCTGGTGCACTACCGGGTGTGGTCTCCATTTCACTATTGTTGTCCTCTTCTTTTGGTTCCTTTTCTTGTCTGATGGTTTTGTTATTGTTATTATGAGACTTTGCACTTGCTCCGTATACAAAACTACATGCCACCACCTTCAAAATAACAAACAGGTTTTAAAGGATCATATTAGAATTTGGGTAAGAGATGATAAGCGTTCAAACTCTAACACATGAAAATCATGAAATCGCAAGAGCTAAAATCTTGAAGAGGAAAGAAAAAACAGAACAGACATATCAAAGGCTAACATTCGTAGTTAGTTGTTTCCCATCGTTTTAGCTTCACTTTTCAACCATTAAGAAGAAGAATTCAATATACCTGAACAAGACTGGCTGCGATAAGCATGCCAACTCCACCGGCTATAATACGACCATCGGAACCAGAAAGAGAGACACTCAATCCGCCTGTTCGACTTCTGGATCCACCTTCTTCATTCACCAAATAAGATCCACCAAAACTTAGAATCTCATAACGTCCCTAAGAAACACAAAAGAGGATTAAATAAGAAATCTTTCCAGGTTTTTCTTTTTCGATTAACTGAATGAACGACTTTGAAACCTCGAATGTTATGCTAGGTGCTGTTGAAGCAGGTTCGCACAGAGTGGCTGAAGAAATTGTTCCAGTGCCTGACATTATACAAAGAGCCCGAGGTCTTTGTTGCGAAAATGACAAAATTTTCGAAACAATGTCCTGCAAGAAAAATTAAAGGAAATTGAAACAATGAAAAGCTTCATTATTCATTAAGATTCAAAGGAGTTTGAGAGTTTACTTCTCCTGCTCCAACGCTGATCACATGAGGTGCAAAAGCAAGTCCAGCTGAAGTATTCATCCACTCACCTAAAGAAATTAACAGAGTCAAGAGTTTGCTATTACTTAAAGTTTGACTAATCACATTATAATGACCAATCATCCAAAGCTTACATATTATATAGCTTAAACCAAGAATTCGATTTCTTCCACTTCTACTTTTACCATGTTGGCCAACCACATTCTAATGACCAACTACTATCTGAACTCACATTGTACCACACATGGATCAGTCAATTTGATACCTAACAATCAATATTGAGTAGCAGTAACGACAAAGCCAAAGCAACAAAACCTAACTTAACCATAGAATCTTTAAAAGCTTCTAGCATTCATAAGATTCAAGCTAATGTCCTTCAAGATTAGCTAACAGAGCTAAAACAACAACTTAACTTGACAAACTACACAGAAAAATAACTCAAGATCTCACCAAGATTAGCCAAGCGTTGCTTCCTTCCAGTTCCAGGAGGTCGACCTCTGGCTCGTTTAGGAGCATTAGGATCAGACATTGAAGAAGAGTCCTTAGACTTATTACTAACACAAGGCACTGGAGAAAGCCCTAGAGAGACTTGTCCATCAGCAACATACTTTCTTGGCCGTCCACGTTTCTTCTTAACCATCGGTTGCTCCGGTGGTGGGGGCGGTGGTGGCGGCTGCAGAGTCGGCTGCACCGCAGCAGGAGAAGCACAGGCAGCCATCCCCATGTGAATGCTGTGTCCAAAATCCGAGAAAGGAAGTCCTGGATTGTTAGCCTGAGGGTGATGAATGTTAGGGTTCGGCATTGGCCTCGTTCCCGGAGTTTGCGGCGGCGCGTGAAGCCCACTCGCGAGTTGGGAAGGTGCAAGATTGGTAAAGGCTCCTCTTTGAAGATAGAACTGAGAATGCGAGCCTGGAAATGCCATTGCTTCTCTTCCGTCCATGCATTAAAAACTTTAAAATTACAAGTCTTTAAGAGAAAGAAGAGATTTTTAAACTGGTAAAAAAAAAAAATGGAACTAAATTTATCTAATCTAATACCCAGAAATCGTAAACCCTAATTCCCCAAAGTAATAAAGAGAACAACAATGGCGGCTTTTTTTAACTACCCAGCAATCAAAGTCGGGTTCTTTATGCTGTGAGCTCAAGATCCAAATTGTTTTTATGAACCCTAAAAAAAAAAAACAAAGCTAAATCTTGAGTTCACTTATAGAACTCGAAAAGGTACAATTGCAGATTTGAAATTACGACAACAGAGGAAAGTAGCTTCTCCTACTGTTACAGTCTTGCAGCGAAAGAAAGCAAATCTCGAAATCTAGGGTTTCTGAGAAGGAGAACAGAATGTATATCAGAGGAGAGACAAAGGAAGAAGACAGAAGAGACAGATAATCAGAGAGAAGAGAAAAAAGAGAGAGACTAACAGATTTATAATTCTGAATTTTTTTTTTTTTAATATTGTGAACTTTTGAATTGAGAGAGGCCTTCTTCTCTGAAAGTTAGAAGACCAAAGAAGAGAAGGAGAGTGACGACCATTGTTTTTCTATTTATATATTTATATATTTCTTTAATTTATTTGTTATTTAATTTTGTGAAAGATGTATATTCAATTGTTTTTTTCTACCTTTTTTAGAATATTTAATTAGTTTGTCTAAGAATTTATTAAAAAGGATATAGACTTTCTTTGATGATTTATTACAAAATCTAATGTCTCATTAGATCTCTGACTGAAAACGAAATTTATTTACTATATTCATTATTGAAATATTATGCTTTTCATGTATAAATTATGTGCTATATTCTCATAAAAATTGCTACCACTTGAGATTTTTTATCTTTCTAAATAGTCAAAAGAATATAGTTGACATTTTAGATTATTACATCATGTAATATATTATTTCTTCTACTGCACTATGTCGTTTTTTATATGGGACATATTTAGTTTTATTTTTCTTTTCTTTTTTTTCTTTGTTTTTATAATTGATATAATGTAAAATTTAAAGACAAATTAATAAAAGCCCTGATACTTTGACAAGAGGCAAGACTAGTGTGACTTGATTTCATATCATCTTAGTTCAAATTAAGATGTTAAAAGAAAAAAAAAATAGATCAAATTTTGTTGTTAAATAAAACAGCTTTTTAAAAAAGAAATTTTAATCTTGATTAGAAGAGTGATGTATGAGAGAGATGTGTTGTTGACTAAAGAAAGGAGAGAGAATGGGGGCACACTTGAATCTCTTCTCTCTCACATGTCTTAATCACTTTGCTATTTCTTTCTTTGCTTCGGACAGTGAGCCCTCTCTCCTAACTTTATTTTCTTCCCATTTTTATATTCCCCTTTTTCTCTTTTACTTTTTATCTAAAAATCTTTTTTTATTTTCTTTCAAAAGTTTTGAAAGTGATTTATTAAATATATATACGTACATATTTTGTTTCCACCTAATTTGAAAGTTCGTATGATGCATTTAATATCCGATGGCTAAAGAACCCGACCAAAAAATCCAAATAGTCAAAATTTGGTGCTAGATATAAATAAAGTTTTTAGATATGGTTATTTTTTGGTTAATTAGATTTGTTTTGCTACTCCCAATCCATTTCTGAATAATCTTTACATTAAGTTGTTTAATGTCAACAATCTTACACTTGCACAAACTTGACTTTTGACAATAAAATAAATAGTTTTGACTTTCCCTTCTTTCACTTTTTGTTTTGCCAACTCTTTACCTAAATTAATGTGACTTGTCTTTTTTTACTTAGCAATTTTCATGATACGAAAATTTTGAGGCCGACCATTACTGAACTTATACAAATTTTTACTTGTTCTTCTCACATAAATAGCTATAATCATATACAAATTAGTCCATTTCATCTACATATAACATTAATAACTTCAATAAATAATTAAGATATGGACAGTGTGAAATCACAATAAATGTAGTAGATAGATATTCAAAAAATGGAAGAAGAGTGTTGAAGGAAGCTTTCAGCTTGAGGATGGTGTCTGGAAAGGTACAATAAGGCTCTGTTTCTATGAAAGTCCCTTACTTATTACTTCACAACACATTTACACATTATGATACATATATAGAGAGATATGATTGTGGGTCTGTGAAACCATGATGTCATCAAAAGTGGGTCTCTCTCTGATTCTTGTAAGGAAAGTGATCTCAACTGTTGCTTTTTTTTTTTTATTTTACTTCTCATGTATTTGTGGGGATTGAGTGATATGATTCTCTTCACACATTTGTGGTCCAAATGGTTTTCAAAACTCTAATAGCTGCTGGTAGTTCGATTTTGGTAGAGTTTGTTGAGTTTAGATATTGAGAGATTTCAAAATAAAATAAAAATTGAAGTTCATATACCAAAATACATAACTATAATTTGATAAGATTACAAATTCAATGGTAAATGTGTTAAACTTGAATAAAATATTACAGCATGAAACAAGTCTTAACTTTAAGATTTAAGCTAATATCTCCTCTATACATAGTTGTGATTAATACAAATTCAAGTTATAGGTCCAATGATCCAGTTAAAAAAAAATAAAAGATCCAATAACCTGGCAAATTATTAAGTCCAAAACCTTTTATGTTAACTTCTCCATCTTCCAATGGAAACATTACAAAAGGATTAGAGAGGACCAATCTAAAATTGAATAAATGAAATTGCTCTATAAATCCTCAAGAGATTATTATCTTGGTTTTTAAGTGAAAAACCAGGGAAGAATATGAACCTGAGGACACCGTTTAGTTATTCGTTTGATGTGTTTTCGGGTTTTCCACCGTAAGTCATCAACCGCTGCATCAGTCGCAACCATTCTTGTCCGTCTTTGGTTCAGAGACGGTGTCTCTGGCTCTTTTGCTCTGTTAATAGAGATCAATCAAACAAATGGGTTCAGAAATTGGCAAGAAGTGGAAAGTATCTTAAAGAACCTGCAAACATTCTAGGTTTAAACCACTAGGCATACCAGAAACCACATAATAAGTAGCTTTTGATGGTTATGCTTTTAAAAATCTAAGATCGATGTGAATAGAAGTGTGTAGCTATGTGCTTTAGAGTAAGGTTTTATGGCAAAGGAACAAACCTGGCGGGATCAATCTGTGGAGTGGATTCCGCCAGTGGACAGCAAGCGGAGCAGACATAAGCCTTAGGCCGCCAATGAAGTTTTAAACAATAGGTGTGATACCATTCGCCACATTGACTACAAGAAACCATGGATCTTGAGTTGTATGGTTTTAGACAAATGCAGTGTAACATACTCCGAGCTCGTAAAGACTGCATCAATCAACCATGATACAAACAGTATTAGATAACGGTAAGGTTATGTGTTAAGCTTTGTTAACATTCATTTCATATATTAACCTGAAGTTCCTGCTCTGCATGGACAGGTAAGTTTTCACCCTCAGAAATAAGCTCAAAAACATCTTCTAAGGCAAGAGCACCCGAGTCTGTCACCACCTGCAGATAAAATCAATAGCTCTCGTTTACGTTAAACTTTCCAAAGAGATTATAAGCGATTAACTGAGAAACCATGTGTTGGTTATGTACCTTTCTAGCTCGTTTTGCCCACTCCAGTCCAGTGTCTTCTAACTTCATTAGTCTCTTGCCTAAGTAATACTCTTCGGGTAATATTCCCAGTGTTTGTCCCTGTCAATAAGAAAATGACGAAACTCATAAACCAGATCACTGTGGTGTCACTGAAAATCCAAAGAGAAGGATAATGCTTCAAGACCCAAAGACATCTTAGTATGTGTAGGAAGTTGATATATTATCCGAACATACCTCTTTTAAGTGCTGCTGAATTTGCTGTAACGAGGACTTTCCTACATCTTCTAGCAACTGCCATTTAAAGACGCACTTAAACAATCAAAAGGGGTACTAACTACTAAGTGTCAAAAACCAATAAAAATTCAGCAAATCTATCTGTACCTCAGAGGAAGGTGAGCTAGAGCTTAACGTGATGGTCTTACAACACCATCCTAGTTTTAGACTTGCAGTTTGAAGTTTGGGAAGTTCATCGAAATTGAGACCAAGGGACAGACCAGATTTTCTAGCGGAGTCCACTCTGGTTATCAAATCCAAAATCTTCGGAAGGATATTGTTATGCATGCCATCATCTATTTTCGCATTGTCCAACAAATCCTCAGTTTCTTGCAAGAGCTGACGATTATCACACTGCCACCTTTCGCAATTAAGCAACAATGTTTCAAGAATTCGTGGCTCTTGAAGCTGAACGTTAAGCGATTTAGACTGAGTAACTAGGTCCTGCAAAAATAAAAGCATTGAATACTTCAAAAATCACATCTGTTACACAAAAAAAAAACCCGAAACTACAGGCAGACAAACCTTTAATACAGGAAGTTCAAGCAGAGAACATGGAGATGATGCCATAGAGGAAGTGGCTGATAAAAAAGGCTCAGAGTTCTGAAGCCAAGTTTCAGCCAACGAGATTGTGTTCTCTATGCCCTTCAGAGAAGGCAAAACCGCATCAATGTTGATTGACATCCTAGGAACAAACATCTTTTGATGAATAAAAGACTTAAGAAAAACTAAACATGTGCTGAAGTAAAAATATTTACAAGCTTGAACAAAAGTTATATACCTTGCCAGATCTTTAAGGTCGTACATCTGAGTTTCACTAGCAAGGATACTGCTTGCTCTTTCTTCCCAACACCGTGCTGTTGACAAAATTCCAGAGATCTCAACATATACCTCCTCCTCCTCGATTTGTAGACTGAAAATAGAAAGTCTTGGCATGTTAACAAAAATTAAAGTAGAATGCATATTTCATATTCTATAATCAGTAATAGGGCAAGACGTACACAACAGCTTCCGAGAGCAGCTGCTCAATGATATCCAGAGACCTTCTTGCAGTATAAACCTACATCAAATTCCATACAAAAAAAAAAAGCTGAATCAAAGATATAAACCACAGAAAAAGCACTGAGAACATCACACCTAACGCTATTTCACCAGTTAACTATACAAAAAATTTCCATGCATTTCAATATCAAATGCAAAGAATTGTTGCTATTATGATAACTATCTGAGACGAATGAGAGATACCAATTTAGAAATTAAAGAAAGAGTAAACATTTACCGTTCGAGCTTTTTTCCGGCAAGATGCCTTCTTTAATTCAACTTCAACAAGAGGGAGTCCTTCAACTATATCATCAGATACCGTTGTTAGGGTTTAGCTATCAGCCTATAAGGTGGGAACCAGATAAGACACCCTAAAAAATGTTATAAAGAAAGACCTTGAATGCTTAAGGATGCCCCATCCCGTAGAAGGGAACTCAGGTCACTAATTAGCTTTTGTTGGTCCTTGCCTTCACGAACATCAACCATTACATCATTAAAGCGTGAAATCCAAGACAAAGTGTCAACGTGGTACTGCCTCAGGATAGTCAACTCAGGAACGTTAATGCTGAAACTATCAAATTCATGAAGCAGCTCTTCCACATTCTGTGCAGAAGAAAACAAATAATTCAGAAAGGTTCGACAAAAGAGCTTGTTG